CCCCAACCCTCTTATCTCAGCTGTGTACAAACTGATATGGTACTTAGCAGGAAAGTGACTGGAAATTAAAATAACTTCGTTCACCAGAGGTTATCAGCTGGATATCTGTCATCATCAGTTTGTACAGAAAAGAGTCATCTGCGGCAAAAAAGGGCTGGACCCGAGCGGAGCCCGGCTCTCGGCAGCCGGTGGGACGGGAGCCCTCCCGCCAGAAACCGAGCCCAGACCTGCCGCTGACGCCCGGTGCTGCCGCTCCTGGGGTAGGCACGGCTTTTCGTTCCCTCTTTCCAGGCGAGGTGATGAGGAGGTGAAGGATTTGGAATACTGGGGGTACGGGAAAACTCCGGCTGGAGGCTCTGGAAGTTTTATTGTGCTCGTTAATTTTCGTGCTTGAGCGCGGCAGGGGTTTTGATGGGAAAATAACCACTTTCCCCAGAAACCGTTTCTCTATTAAATTGTATAATTAAAGGCGATGCTTCTTTCTTTTCAACTCTCAGTAATATTTTTTCTTTTGGTCATCCTGCCAGGTTGAAGTGATTTATTTTTTTTTTCTTTTTACTTCTAGACGTATTTTAGTGGGTGTAATATTAAATAGAAAACGAGCTTTTGCAAAGGAGGGCAGCGATTCGTTGTCTGTAAACGCACCGGCGTGACTTTCCACCCGAATTTGCAAAGTAAAGCGTTTTCCCATGTTTTTTTACCTGCAAAAGCGCGACAAGAGGAGGGGAAGCCACGGGAAATAATGCCCACCCGCTTGAGGGCTGCTACTGCAAATTTCTGTGCTGAAAAGAGCCGAGCAATCGCCTTTCGACCCCGCATTTCGTTTAAATCTCTTGGATGCCCCTCATCGAGTTAAACCCGAGGGTATTTCAAACACGTGCAATGGTGGATATAATGCGAGAAACACCGTGGGTTTGTTTTTGTTTTTTTTTTAAGCGACAGGCTTTTCTGGCTGGGAGGGGAGTGTGGGTGCTCATGTGCCCCCCAGGGCGGGTGGCAGAGCCCCTGGCCGGCCCGGGGGTGCCTGCCCGAAGAGGTGAGGATGGCTGGGAGGAAGAACGGCCGCGCTGGCCTGGCGGGCGCCTCTTTCCCTGGCTCCAAAGTGACCTGTGTTTTTACACTTCAGGCGCCTCGTTGTTTTTTTTTGTTTTGTTTTTTTTTTTTTTTTTTTTTTTTTTCCCGCTGATTAGCCTGTTTACGTTATAGCCGGGCTACAAGATTCATTTTATTTTCTCCGATAGACCCGATAAGAAAACCCGGCTTGAAGTGGGACGGGCGTGAGAAGCCGTTCCCCATCACCCCTTTCCTCCCCGCTCCTTTTCGCTGCAGGTTCGCGCCCGAACCGTTCAAATCATATAACCTTCGGTTCCTAGCTCTTCGTGACGTCACTCCCTTCCCAAACCCCACTCTTCTGACGTAACTTTCACCCGGGGAGCCTCTCGGGTGTCTCCTGCCGCGAGGTCGGGGTGGGCACCCGGGGGAAGGAGCTGCGGGAAGGGCGCAGAGGCATTGATTTTTTTTTTTTTTCAGAGGAAAGGCGGGCGGGGGGATGGATGCGGAAAGTCAGGGCTGGGGAAGGAGGTGGTGCCGGAGAGGTAACCATCGCTCCTGCTTGCTGTGATCAAAGAGGGAAGGAGGCAGATCGGAAAAAAAAAAAAAAAAGAAAAAAAAAAATTAATCCAATTAAGGCAAATTCCCGCGTAGGCACTTCAACCTCCCAAAAAAGGGTCGGGGGAAAGCCGTGTGCAGTGTGGTCGCTCCTTGCTCCCCTCCCGGGTCTCTGTAAATCTGATTCCGTACCGGGGGTGTGCATTGAGGGAGGGGGGGAAGGCTCCGGTCCGGCATCACCCACCGGGCCGGGCCCCGGTGCCCACGGGGCGCTGCGGGCGTGGGGGCCCGGGTGCGAGGCGGTACGAGGGGTCACTTTGGTGACTATCGCAGGATGGAGTGTATTCTTTTCCGAGTCGTGTTTATGTAACTTAATGTACTTTAGAGACTGCAGGGGAGTTTAGGCCGGGCTGATAAGCGCAGCGGTTGTTAGAGGCGACGTGCCGGCAGCTCTCCCCCTCTCTTCTCCCCTTGGCTTATCCGCGCTACTTAAAATATACTTTTATCAAGGCCACCCCATGATACGGAGTGTTTCCATTCCCCGGCGGCTGTGACATTGAAGGGGATTTATCGATCGGGGCATCGGTAGCGCTCAGCAGCGCCCAGCTCAGCGGGGAGCTGCCGGCCGGGCGGCTCCACGCTTCCCCGCCGCCGCCCGCCCCGCGGGGCTCAAGCCCCCGCCGCAGGAACGGCGGCCGAAGGCGGGGGGGGGCAACCCGCAACCGGCCGGGGAGCCCAAGGGAGAGGGGCCTTTGCCGCCGCCCATCACCTCCCCGTCGGGCCGGGCGGGACAGCCCCGGGAGATGGGGAAGCGCTTCGTGAAACTCGACCCCCAAAAGCAGCAGGGTCCTGAGCAAGGAAGGGTTGGGGGGAGGAGAGGGCGGCACGGTGGGGGTGTCTTTGCCAACGATCAGATGTGTCCCATGGCGAGGGGGGGGAGCCCCCAGGTCCCGAGGATGAGGAGGGATCATTTATTTATTTATTTTTGTCTTTCCCCAAAACTCCTAGAAAAGGGCAGCCCGTTGCTTGAGCTCCAGACTTTCGTGCTGGTCGCAGACAGTAGGCTCTGGGCCCCCCCCTTACCTCCCCCAT